GGGATGGACAGATCATGAGCTGGTGGAGAAATGAGTGCCCGGGTGTTTGCCACTTTTTCTAAAAAGAAATGGAGGAAGTTCTCACACAGCTCAGTTGAGGCTTCCAGAGGTGAAGGCTCACTGAGGTGTAGAACTGAGTTCAGGGTGGAGAAAAGAACTCGGGGGTTGTGGGAATTGGAGACAATTAAATCAGAAAAGAATTTACATTTGGCAGCTTTAACGGTTTTCTGATAGTGACGCCAACTCTCCCTTAACATTTGAAAAGACACCTGGAGCCTGTCCTTCCTCCACTTTCGTTCAGCTTTGCGACACTGCCTCCTAACGGCTCGCGTGACGTCATTCAGCCAAGGCTCTGATTTAAGTTTTGTTTTTCTGGTCTTAAGGGGAGCAACACGGTCCAGAACATTTAAACAGGCAGAGTTGAACTGAGAGGTTAGCTCCTCAGTGGTAAGAGACACCGAGAGCTGTTCGATCCTCTCAGAATTAAAACCTTCATTAAAACGAGCAGCAGTGAAATGGTTAATGGAACGCGTACGTGCAGGAACGCACGTCTTAGCAGTAGGACAAGGGAGGGTGAAGTCAAACAATACAGGCATGTGATCTGAAAAAACATTGTCACCGATTTTCAAATTAGAAACAGAGACATCACGTGTTAAAACGAGGTCCAGCGTGTGACCATGTTCTTGGGTGGGGCCGCTCACCTGCTGAGCTAAGCCAAAAGAGTCCAATAAATCCAGAAAGTCCTTCACTAAGGGCTTCTCCTGACAACACACATGCAAATTAAAGTCACCAATAAACAAAAAGTGAGTGTATCTCTGAGTGATATCAGCCAAAAAGTCCATCCATCCATCCATCCATTTTCTTTACCCGCTTATTCCATTTTGGGTCACGGGGGTCGCTGGTGCCCATGTCCAGCAATCACTGTGCGAGGGGCGGGGTACACCCTGGACGGGTCGCAAGTCCATCACAGGGCCACACAGAGACAAACGAGACAAACAACCATTCACTCTCTCACTCACACCTAGGGACAATTTAGAGTTACCAATCAGCCTAACATGCATGTTTTTGGACTGTGGGAGGAAACCGGAGTACCCGGAGAAAACCCACGCATGCACGGAGAGAACATGCAAACTCCACCCAGAAAGGCCCCTGGACCGGGGTTTGAACCAAGGACCTGCTCGCTGAGAGGCAGCAGCTCTACCAGTTGCGCCACCGTGCTGCCCAGCCAAAAAGTCAGATAATTCATTTATGAAGTCCTTAGAATGAGGTGGGCGGTAGATGAGCGCACACAGGACCGGAGGAGAGTGTCCAAGTTCAAAGGCGCTCAGCTCGAAGCTGGCGCGGGACACCGGGATGGACAACTGTTTACACGCAAAGTTTGCTTTAAAAACTGTTAATAATCCCCCCCCCCGCGCCGACCTGATGGCCGCGGGGCATTGCAACATACACAGTCCGGAGGAAGTAGTTCCACCAGGGCGCTGGACTCACCATCAGAAATCCAAGATTCTGTGACGAACAGAAAATCCAACTCCTCATCTTTAAAAAAGTCATTGAGGATAAACGTCTTGTTGGAAACAGACCTTGCGTTGATTAAACACATCCTGATATTGTCCGACACAGGCACAGCCGTGGAGGGAGACGCGCGCGCCAGCGGGCGCAGGTTATGAAGAACAGCTCCTCCTGGTCTGCTGGTGCGGCGCACAGGTAAACAACTCCAGGTGTTTCCATGGGCCCCAGGAGCACCACGGGTCAGAGAGGAGATGATCAGATCCAGAGCGAGTCCTGTTAGAATAATCCACACTTTGCCTCAGTTTCACCAAAATCCCTGCACGCTTCCCACGACGTCTGCGACGTTTCCTCCATGGAGAAAGGCCAGGGTCACGCAGAAGGAACGCAGGAATCTCAGATAGGACCGGTGGGGGAGAGTGATGGCCGCTGTTCAAAAACTCCGCAGGCGTTTCAGCAAATGTACGGAGCTCCAAAAGTGCCCGACGATCATACTGAAAATATGACTCGGCACACTGCACAAACCATTGTAAAAATAACAAAAATAAAATACAAGCAGAGAGCGAGAGACGGGCAGCCCTACACACCGGCGCCATCTTGGAAAAATCTCTGTTGATGTTCTACAGCCTGTCTAATATATTGAATGAATGTGTGTGACATATTTCTGCTTACTAATCGGTCATAATGCACGTTGAAAATTC